TTTTTGACATGCTCTATTCCTTAGGAATGTCTCCCGAACGAAGTTGGATTCAACACACATCTACACAAATAGGGGACAAATAAAATATAGAACATAGCAAATAGAAAATAGCAAGCAAGATGTGACAGTTGCCCTAGACATTCCATAAATGATTGCAGTGTTGAAGTTAGGAAACACAATGGCATATAAGTTCTAGGAAAAACCCAAACATGTTCCAAGTTCCTATAAATAAATGCTAGGTCCAGCGTGGCATGGAAGAAGGCAGTTGATATAACTTCCTTCAAATCCCGGATGGTAGTAGATTCTTCACAAGCATATGATGCATTGCACCACTATATTTTTCTTCTTTTTTCATGGTTAGTTAAAGTTGCAACTCCACTTCATGATGCATACAATCGCCCTTCTCCTACAAGTCTACTTGCTCTTGGTCCCTGAGAACAGTTAGGTTTCCACTAATCCATTTTAAAAAGATATCGAGTGGTCAAGAAAACCATATTTTGTATGTATAAATGCACGTCATAAAATAAAATATTTCACACAACCTAATTGCTCTCATAAACCCTCAAACTTCTATCTACTGAACATGAAAATAACATATAGTAGGGATATCAAGAATTTTTACCTAAGAAAACCGGTACCACAGAAATCTTCTTGTAAGTACAGCGGCCGTCTTCCCCCCACATAAATCAGAAAGAACTTCTGCAAGTAGCTTATGTCTCCCTTCGGCCGCTGCCCAAAACGCCCAAAAATTCAAGGAACCATCAAAAACCAAGGAGAAAAATTAAAATAAACCCTAAAGAGAAGCACAAGAAAACATGTGGAATAACTCACCTGAACAGATTGCTGGTAGAGATCGAACTTAGACAAAGCGCCCACTGACGTCTCGTTTTCTACCACATCCGCACCTCCACCTCCGTTGCTATCTTCCTCTTCGGCCTCTCCATCTGCTCCACCGCCGCGTTCTTGTTGGTCCCCAGAAAGATCATAAGCAGAAGAAGGCAAGACATCAGAGCCGTCTCCACGAGGAACGCCACGTTGCCTTTGGAAGGCCTTCGACTTCTTTCCGCTCTTTCCCATTTGCACTCTTCACTCCTCTAACCGCTATAACTCCCCGGCAGCTCCTGCTATCGTTCTTCGTCTTGAGCTGTTCCGCAAGACCGCCAGAGCCAGATTTAACTAACCGGTTTCGAGGGTTATTATTGGCAAAATTTAAAAAATAGTATTTTTGGTAAATTTATTATTTTAAATAAACTTTAAAAAATAAAATATTTCAAACTCTGGTTAAAAGGTGATGTGGTTAGGACTGTCAAAAAAGCTCGTTGTTCATGAACAGTTCGTGTTCG